TTCCCCCGCGTTCCCCCCCGAAATGACCTCTGATGACAGCCAATGTGACATAGCAGTCAGGGCTTCAGAGCACGGGAGAGGCTGCAGGTGTGTGTGGGGGGGTGGAAAGCTGAAGAGTGAGGGGGAAATAAAGGCAGGTTGATGATTGGCTGGGAAGGAGATAGGGTTGCCAACTCCAGGTGGGAAATTCCTGGAGACGTGAGGGATGGAGCCTGGAGAGGGTGAGGTTTCAGGAGGTGTGGGACCTCGGACAGGTACAAAGCCATAGATTCCACCCTCCAAACCAACTATTCCCTTCTGGGGAACCATTGTTGCCAATCTACAGGTGAGGACTGGAGATCACTCAAAATTACAACTGTTCTTTAGGTAGCAGAGATCAGTTCCTCTGGAGAAAATGGTGGACTCAGTGTCATTATACCCTGCTGAGGTCACCACAGCAAATTGACACTGAGTGTCCAAGGCCGGGGCACCTGCCCAGGGCCTCTTTCTAGGGGCCCATTGTATTTTTTTCCACAATGGGCCTTTTTCCTAGTTAGCAATAAATCAATTAGGCAGAGTTCCACAAGAAAAGCCTTTTGGCTCAAAGAAGGGAAAGGAAGATTGTACAGCAGAGTTAAAACAAAATAAACTTGCAAGCAGCTGCGCTCGTTAGTGCTTCTGTCTCGCTGCCGCCATCTTTTTCCTCCGATTCATCAAATGAAGCTTTTGTTTATTATACAAAACATCACATGCTTGTATACGATACTACAAGGAAATGAAATAGTCTCTAAAATCTGCATTGAACAAAAACACAAATGTTCTATACCATGGTACAAATATTATCAGGTGAAACACATTATAGATAATTTGCAGAAACGCTCAAACCTCTCAAGACCACTAACCCTTTTTCAAAGAATATTAAAAATAGACAGATCAGATTTTAAGAATTTTATTTCAGTCTTATATAATGATCTGACCATACCAAACCCAAACAGTAAGTTAAGCTACCAGACACTTTGGCAGTCAGACTGTGCTAATACTCTTACTGACAAAGAATGGCATAAAATATGGACTTCCCCATCTATTACCTCCAAGTCCCTAAATATTCAACTACAGAGTTATAAGGTCTTGACATGATGGTACCTCACCCCAGCAAAATTACACAATATTATAAAAACCTCCTCACCCCTCTGTTGGAGGTCCTGTGGTGGTTACAGATCATACATACACTGCTGGTGGTACTACCCAATAGTTAGGAAATTCTGGATAAAAGTTTCAAAAGCCATTAGAAACATCACAGGATACCATATTCCTCTCTCTCCGGAACTATACTTACTTGACCTATGGAAAGACTCCAAAATCCCCAAATCACAGAGGGACCTGTTCTCTATATTCCTGACCGCAGCAAAGACAGTCATTGCCAACAACTGGAAAGATTAAAAAGTCCCATCTCTCACTCAGTGGTTTGCTAAACTATGGGAATGTTATTCTATGGACAAGCTATCAGACAAGGTACATATCTATACATGTGGCAGTAATTTCCAATTAAAATGGTTCACATTCATAGAACATGTCTTTAGTAATGATATACCTCCAAACTATAACGTACCAAGTAAATTCTATGATGTCCTGCATTTATTCATTTTATTTTATGTAACATTTTATGTAACTCTGTAACAAAATGACATAAGTGCATGCTGTTTAAAATGCTTACCATGTACCTTTATATATGTTTATGTTCAATTTATATTTATATTGTATTATCAAAGTTATGTTATTGTTCACTCTGTATAAGAAAACAAAAAAAACTTTACTGTTAAAAAAAAAAAAGGAGACAGAGATCAGTTTCCCCAGAGAAAACAGATGCTTTGGAGGGTGGACTCCATGCCATTGTACCCCACTGAGGTCCTCTTCAGGCTCCATCCCCAAATCTCCAGGGGTTTTGCCACTTGGATCTGGCAGCCTGACCCTGTCCCCCGCCAGGGGGCACCTGGCAAGCCTATTTTGTGATGATAGCAGATGTTGTAGACCTGTGATACAGATGTGAATGATGGTTATTTTCTTCCTCTTTCCACAGAACATCTCCTGTCATTTGTTTGACAAACAAGAGACGGATGACAAGAAAAACAGAAGGAAGAATCTAGTTCAATATACTTCAGCTGGGCTTGCTCCCAGCATAGAGATCTTCAACAGTAGCTACTCAAAAGTTTTCTACTTCAAAATGTTTCTGGTAAAACAAGCTGCTATCACAAAGCAACATGGTTAAAGAGAATTAGGAAGCTATTGGGAGTGGAGTCTTGCTAAGAATAGCAAGAGTTAGGGCTAATTCCACAAAACATTTTTTTTATGGAGGAGTGCATATGAATGTAAAACTGTATGTGGAGAGGAATCTAGTGTCCTTATCATGGAGCTTTTCCAGTAGGCTCTAGGTGTGTTTTGCATTTATTTCGATATTGTAAGGTTCCAGGGATATCAAAGCATGCTGTTTTAGAAGCAGGACCTAGGTGCCTTGTTGTCTGCACCAAAGTGGCAGCTTACCACAAGGGAGACTTGGTGTCTCTTCTGTGCTGTTCTTCAACACTTGCTGTTGTAGGTGGGTTGAAAATTGCATTACAGCTATCAGTGAGCAAGGGTCGTGGCCAACAAGTGGCCAAAAAGGGTCCACCTATAAGGTTACAGACTCTGGGATGAACCCCAATATCATGAAAGAGAGAGAGAGTTGTTTCAGAGAACCTCTTATTTATTGAACTTCACAACCAAAAGAATCTGGTATGCAGCATGCAGCATTAATTCAAAATTCAATACTTAAATATTGCGCACAGTAGTTCTATGAAGAATATCCTTGGTTGCTCTGTCAAGACCCATATTGGAGGGTGGTTGGCCAGAACAACCAGGAACAAGAATAAATTCATATATTAAGAACCTTTTCCCATCCATAGCAGCTAATGTAACTGTCAGTCAGGTCTGTGCTGAGCATCTGACGTAATTGACAAAACCCAGCCCCTTCCACACAGTGAGGCATGAGCTTTGCCTGTAGTTAAAACAATTTCAGTCAGGGCAAGAAGCCCCAATTATCCTGGTATCTCTTCAAGTGACAATCTGTATATTATAGATGGTTCACGATTACTCTGGGTAACCTCTCTGTGTCAAGAAGGAACTGTGGAGACACATACCCCATATCTAGATGTTAGACTGTTATCCTGGTCTCTGGAAATGTAAACCGTTCAGTGCATTGTCTCTGACAGTGCTTGCTTAGGAGCAGCTAACCACAAAGCTTTATGGGATAGAACCAAAGACTGAGCCATAGAATTTAATACGAAATGGGTTTGCAAGGGACTGAGGTTCAGTTGAGGCCTCAGTTCCACAACAGCTATTAAAGGTAAAGATAAAGCTTTCCCTTGCTTGAAAGCCAGTCGAATCCGACTCTAGGGGTGCGGTGCTCATCTCCGTTTCCAAGCTGAAGAGCTAGCGCTGTCCAAAGACTTCTCTGTGGTCATGTGGCCAGCATGACGAAATGCCGAGGTGCATGGAATGCTGTTACCTTCCCACTGAAGCGGTACCTATTTATCTACTTGCAATTTCTTGCTTTCGAACTGCTAGGAGTTGGGGCCAGTGACGGGAGCTCACTCAGGTCTCGAATTGCTGAACTACCAACCTTGCAGTCTGCAGTTCAGCATCTTAACTACTTGAGCCACCGCAGCCCCCACAACAGCTATTAGCCAGGGGGAAACAGAATTAGGCATAACTATATTTTTACTTACATAAATAAGGGCCAAATTGCACATGATGCTGGAAGTTTTTTGATTGGAGGTACCAAACATTCCCCCCCCCCAAATAACAGCTGTATGGGGACCCTGACACAGTTATCATTTAACCCTTTCTCCCCTAACGATGTCTCCATGACCTAAAATCAGGGGTCGTTTGGGGCTGGAGCGGGCTGGAGCACTGCTCTGGCAGCCCAGGAATGGGGAAAATGGTGGCGGCGGCAAGCCCCACCCCCAGCTCCCAGTGGGCTGGCGAGGGAAGTGAGGGAAGCGGGCTGGTGAGGGAAATTTAAACCCCTTCTCTCCTGATTCACGCTGCAGCAGCGGCAGGATCTCCTATTATATCCTATGGCCCCATAGAATACAGTGGAAAGATTGTGCCGCCTTCTTTCTTCGCTTCCCCCGCCAGCCCACCTTGGCAGGCCACCTGGGGAAGGGAAGGGGAAGCTTTTAAAGTTACCTCCCCAACCTTTCTTTGCTTCTCCAGCCTTTCCTCCAGGGTTTTGTGCCCAGAGAAGGTCAGGCTAATTGTTCCCTGTCCTCCTCCTCCGTCATTCAAGGTTTCCTGCCCAAGGGAAAGCATTAATCGCCTTCTCCTTCTGCCTCCAGGGGTATTAGTGCTCCTTGGAGCTCCTTCGTGCAGAGCAGGAGGAGGTACCCCATCGAGCTCCGGCACTTGACATGGGTCAGCCCCCTGCTTTGGGACTCGGGAGCAGCAGGTGGCTCAAGTTTGCGTAGTCTCCCAGGACTGCCTGCTTGATCGCCGGCTGTAACTCTGCTAGAGTTGGATCTTCCTTTGCCAACAAAGTGTGGGGGAGGGAGTTGCAAGAGGAAGGGAGAAGCCCTGCCCCACCCCCACTCCATCTCACCTCCTTTCCCCTCCCTCCCCGCAGCCGCCTTGGGGTTTTTGTGACCCGGTTTGCAGACTGTCTCTTCACACTGGAGTAAGCACTCCCTCCCCCAAGTCCTCTCATGCAGGCAGCCGCGTCTCCCTTTCACGTGGTCTTCTCTCTCGCCCCTCCGCCTGCAGTTCGAAGTTCCCCCTTTCCCCGTTTTCTGTGCTAAAAAACCATCCCTGAGCAGAATGTTCTCTGCCCTGAGCTTTGCAGATCCCTTGTGTTCGGAGTAGGTAAGGCTGTGCAATGCAAAGTAGGTAAGTATTGGCTCCTCTGGGGCCAATACTAAGCACAATGCAAAGGAAGCGATCACACCCAGAAATCTCTTGGAATGCCCGATTGTGGTGCACTTTGGCACTATTGGATCCAATCGCCCTTGCTCAAGTCTCGGACTTTGGATTGCTAAGGGCCACATTCTCTTTGCCACCACCCTTCCCCAGTTGAGAGGCGCCCCCCTTACCTTCCTGGGCCAAGGGTGCCCCCAATCCCTCCCCTCACGCGTCCAGAACCACCAAATGCCAGTGCCTTCCGCCCCTGTGCATTAGCGCCATAGAAAATAGATCGCACGTGCGGGATCATGCGGCGGTGTGTGTGTGAGAATTACCAGATCCTTTAGCAACACAGTGAAAGAGGTGCGGGGGTAAGTTGCAAAGGCTTCTTCAGAAACCAGCTAGGGAACAGCTGGCGGGGGGGGGGAGGAAAGGCCAGCAGGTGAGTCCCCTCGCTTTAGTTGGTTGTTTTTTAAAAAATATATATATATTTGAGTTGTACAGGTTGAAGCATTAATCAGCTATTTCATTTTGTATGTAATGTTATCATTTTCTTCAAGAATATTATGGGGCGATAGAAAACTTTGTGTTTATGAATGGAGAATTCATATTTTCTTGTCTACCTCACTACATTGCAAGGTTACAGCTTTCCAGGAAGGCTCTGCATATTTTTCTGCATTAATTTCAACAAAGCTTGTGTAGAAGACCACCCTTGCTGATGGGTCAAGACTGGGTGATATGGTCTCTGTGACCAACTCCAGTCAACATATTGACTGCAGCATTCTGTACCCATTTAAATTTGCAAACAATTTTCAAGGGCAGCCCCAGGTGGAGCACATTACTGTAATCTCATCTAGATGTATCCAGGATATGCATTGCAGTGGCCAGAATTCTTCTGCCCAGGAAAGGATGCAGTTGGTCAAACAGTCAAAGCTGGTAAAGGGCACTCCTGGCTACAAGTGCCACTTGTTTATCCAGCAGTAGCCCCTGACCAGGAGCACAACTAACCTGTAGACCTGTTCCTTCAAGGGGAGTGCAACTCCATCCAGAACAGTTGACACTTTAAACCCCAGGGTAGACCTTCCACCCACCAGTAGGATTTCTGTCTTGTCAGCATTAAGCTTCAGTTTATTAGCTTACATGTACCCTGAAACTGCCTCCAGGAATTGGTTTAGGATTTCTACAGCCTCCCCAAAGACAGAGCTGAGTGTAATCCACATATTGGTAACCAGGGGTCATTTCGTAGAAAAACAGGTGCAGGAGCTCATTAGCATAACTCATTAGCATAACTTATTTGGATATGCCACACACCCTGACATCATCGGAAGTGTGTCAGAAGGCAACACCCACTGCTCAGGCTCCACTGGACTGTTTTGGATTGCTAGCTATTTGGGCGGGGGGGAACGTGCAGATCTGTCCTCACAGAGGAGGGAGAGTTTGTACCGGAATAAAACTTGGTCTTAAAGGTGCCACTGGACTGTTTTGGACCGGGAGGAGCTCTGCAACTTACCTGGCTGCTTCTTGCTCTGACTGAGGACTGCTGGGAGCAGGGGGTGGGGCTTGTTGCATGTGCCCGCCCCCTGGACTCTTTACTGTCGGAGCTCCGCTCCTGTCCGCTCCTGCAGGAAATGACCCCTGTTGGTAACAACCCAATCTCTGAATGACCTCACCCAGCAGTTTCAAGTAGATGTTGAAAAGCACAAGGGACAGGATGGAGTCTTGCAGGACCCCACATGCCAAAGGACAAGGGGCTGAGCAGCAGTCCCCCAGCACCACCTTCTGGAATCTACCAGGAAGGACTGGAACCACCGCAAAACAGGGCCTCCCAGACGTTTTCCACAATGTCAAGTTTCCCTGCCCCTGCACTTGTATTCCTCCTCTGCTTCCCCTCTTTTCCATAGATGTTTTTGCAGTCCCAGGTGCAAAAACAGTTTGTTCCCTGTTATTCTGCAGCACCAGACTCCCCTGTTTCCAAGAATTTCCATGCTGTGCCCCAAGAGGGGGCAAACTGCATTTTTGCTCCTGGGAGGGAGAAATCATCTGCAGAAATGAGAGAAAGTCGCGGATGAATAGAAGAACAGGCGGGGGAAAACTTAACACTGTGGGAAATGTCCCAGTCCCAACTCTGAAAGGCAGTTCAGAAGTGTGATTAAACCATGGAATTCACTGCCACAGGAGGTGGTGTTTAAACAGTCAGGAAGGGCAAGGATCATACAAGCAGGTGGTAGGCTTCAAATAAGGATCCTGTCCACACGCTCAGCCTGAATAAACTGAAAAGCATCCCAAACAACTGGACAAGCTGGCACCCTGGGACCATTAGACCCTGTTGCTTATTTCTATTTATTTAAAATGTGTGACTCTTTGAACAGTTTAATAATTAAAATCTTCACTGCTGTTATTTCTTTTTTAAAAAGGACCAAGATCGCTTTACCTGGACTCTTGATATTCCTCGAAAAGACATTGCACATAATACAGGTGAGACCTTGTTATCATTTCATCATATATCTGCTCATAGTCTTTTGATATTTCTTTAGCTTAATTGCTCCCAGTGCCCTAGAAGCTTGTTCTATATATATATATATATACACATATATATATATATATACATATATATACATACACACATACACATATATACACAGAAATATCAACAAATTGGCTGCTGTGTGTTCTCCATATCTGAATAAATTTTTATAACTGTTCAGTATTTTTCTTGGTACTGAAGAATGTTTTTTGGGGTTTTTTTTTACAATGATTGGCTTTATGCAACTGCCAAATCCAGTTTTATAAATGGACTGCTTCTTACAGTCATACATTATGTGATTTTTGGGTGTTGAGAATAAATCTGAGCACCATTTATTTATTTGAAAAATACCAAATTGTATTATATGTAGTTAGCAGGTATGTGACTACCTAGTCTCTTATGAACCCACTTGACCACTGTGGTCATCTTCAGAACCTCTGCTTTGGGTGCCCCAGGAGCCATCTGGAGGCTAGGCAGTGACAACACAAGAACGGGTCTTCTTGGTTATTGTACCAAAACTGTGGCACTTCCCTTCCCAGGAAGATTTGTCTGCCTCCATCATTGTCTTCCATGTGCAGGTGAAGACTTTTTTGGTCCGGCTTACTGTTCCATCACTAATTCTTATTAGCCCTCGTTGTAGGATGAGGGCAGATGGCAGCGATACTGTGACAGTTATGGTGATGGCTGGGGGAAATGGCATCCCAAAGACTGGAAGAATATGGGGAAAATACACTTTACAGGATAGAGAGAGCCATTTACAACCCAAAGGGAAATATGCCATCTGTTTGATGTATTAACACTTCTCAATTGGCTTCCCTGGTTCTGGCGAGTTTGAGTTCCAGGTCCTGGCACCCAGACTGGCCCTTTGGGCCCAAATGGGAGGGGATCTGAAAAGGGGAGCTCTTCCTTTTTTTCCTTTTTTTTTTGAGGGAGTTGGAAGTGATTGAGAGGGGGAAAACAGATCAGGTGGGTTCCCAGAGGAACCAAAGAGGGCTGGATATGAACAGTGAAGGTCACAAAGTCCTGTACATGTTCTGTGCCTTTAAAAAAGACAACCATGTCATAAAAACCATTTGTAGAAAAAAATATGCTCATGAAAGGGATTCACCACAGGATTGCAAATAATATCAGTCTCCAAAGATGACATAAATAAGCTGGCAACACTGGGGGCAAAGGAGTTCCCCATTGCCACACCCTTAATTTGGGGGGGGGGGAACCCAATCCTGAAATTTAAAATAATTTTTCTCCAGGATCAGATCAACCAATTCCATTATGAAATAAGTTGGTGGCAAAGGATTGCTATGAGACTCTAAAGTGGTCTCAGTGATACGCCTGGCAATTCTAACCCAGCTTACATGATACTGAGGGTCCATTTGGGGGCTGCTTACTCAGATTGTAGTGTTTTCCACCACCCCAAAGCTAACTGCTTCCCTACATGCAGGAAAGAGAGGGAAATCTGCACTTTTGTTGTTGTTCAGTCACACAGTCGAGTCCGACTCTTCGCGACCCCATGGGCCACATCACACCAGGCCCTCCTGTCTTCCATCGTGCTCCAGAGTTTGCTTAATTTCATGTTCGTTGCCTTGATAACACTGTCCAACCATCTCATCCGTTTCCGTACCCTTCTTCTTTGACCTTCAGTCCTTCCCAGCATCAGGGTCTTCTCCAGTGAGTGCTCCCTTCTCATTTGGTGGCCAAAGTATTTGAGCTTCAGCTTCAGTATCTGGCCTTCCAGGGAACAGTCAGAGTTGATTTCTTTTAGGATGGACTGATTTGATCTCCTTGCAGTCCAAGGGACTCTCAAGAGTCTTCTCCAGCACCATAATTCAAAAGCATCTATTCTTTGGCGGTTGGCCTTCCTTATAGTCCAACTCTCGCAGCCATACAGTACTATTGGGAATACCATTGCTTTGACTTTTGTTGGTTTACCTGTGAATTTCTCTCCTTAACAGAATGAGAGTAGCTAGTCTCACCTGTCCCTAGAACTGTTCCATCTCAAGACTTTCCGTTATTTATTTATATCCTCAGGAAGATGTTTCTTTGTGAAAATGTGACCTATCTTCCTTGTTCCTTGTTCTCTCTTCTCCTGTGCTTAAGTCCTAAAATTCCTTGCCAGGGAAGGGAGAGTTTTTTCTTGTTTTTTTTTCTTTGGCATACGTTTTGTGGGGTTTTTTTTGCATAAGTTTGTTTATAGATTGATGAGGTATTGGCAGAACATGTTAGTTATTGCGGAGATAGAAAGGAGGGAGCCCCTTTCTCCTCTGAATGGATATGACAGCTATGTTTCTAGTCTCAAAGGAGGGGCTGAAATCAAAGCTACTTACCCTCTTACTCACAGAGAGAACCAAATTTTGCAGATAAGTGAAACAGTTTCTCCTTTTCCATTTTCCATTATCTTGTTTCAGCAAATAATAGGTATTGATAATAATAGCTTCAAAAGTCTTTGGTTAGTGTATTCAGGCAAAAGGAAATGAGTAAGGATTTTTGCTTCATTACCCAGAAAACTGTGAAGCAACATTTCTTTATGGCAGGTATCTCCAACATTATTGAATCTGTGGGTACTTCTGGAATTGGAGAATGGTTATTGTGCATCACCACAAAATGGTTGCCATGAGGAGGCCCAGCAAATCACAAAATGAGTGCTTTGAGAGCTGGGGGGATTCACAAAATGTTGAGAGGTTAGAAGCCAAGTGACTTCCTATGATGTCTTCTGTATTATTCTAAAGTATCTTGTGCTCCAGTGAGGTACAGGAAAACCGGGATTGGCTCTTTGTTTTGGGGAAGAGATATTTAAGTGAAAATGGAAGTGGCACCAGGAAACACATTGGTGGACACCATGATACACATGGGACAATGTGGGGGATCATTGCTTTACAAAAAAGTACACTAAGCAGTATACCAAGATGCATCAAATATGAAAGGATGATCATTCCTTCTGTTTATATGCCTAATCTGTCTCATTTTTGTACATGTTGAAACACAGATATTGCTCCAACAGAACAATGGTATCTAAAATTCATTATGCATCATGGATTAAATATGTTTACTACTGAAGGAACTCTACTGGATTCTGCTCGAGGTAAGCTGTAGCTTTTGTAGACTGATTTTTTTTTACAAGTTGTTAAGTGTTCTGATAGACTAACAATGTCCAGAATTTTTAGAATTCAGCCATTGCCTATAGATTCTTGTCTTTCAAATAATAGAGAAGAGTAAACAAGATTATGATGTTCTAAGGATTTTGCCCTTCTGCTCTCTTTATTTTATTTATTTATTTCATTTGATTTTTATCCGCCCCTCTCCCAGCAATTGGGGCTTGGGGCAGTTAACAACATAAATAAAAATACTAATATTCTACAAAGCAATTTATTACTTTAAAGCACTGATCCCCAATACTGTATGGTATGATGACCAGAGAAGATGATAGTAGTGTGGGTCGTAGAGGAGCCCGAGGAGGGAAATGGTATCGAGTGACAATCCTTCGCCTCTGTCCCTGTTGGTGTTGCTCATGCCTAGGGTTTCACTGAGGGTCGTGGTGTGGATACCTTCTCTGCTCACCTGATAGACTGTTGTCTTTTACATGTTGACTTTAGTGCCTGAGGTGCATTTAGACTTGGAATAGCTCTGCCAGCCACGGACCTGTGATGATGAAAAGGTCATAGGCGTGTGCCACCGCCACCACTGCTTCCCTTGTGGCTGTTGAAGGTGCTTCTCCCAGGACTCTATCTTACAGGCCATGTGGAACCTAATTAAACAGGTCTTGCAGGGCACGAGTCTCTTCAGAGAGAGCATTCTGCCAGATTAGGACCACGATTGAAAAAACCCTTGTTCTGGTTGTGGTAACTAAATTGCAAGCCCAGTATAAGAGTTAGTAGTCAGTGTTATAACAAGTTTTTTCCTATGTATAATTATCTATAGGAAATAGAGGTAATCAGGGATTGTGTAGGTTATTTAGTGTTAACAATGATTTCTTCCTAATTTCAGCAAGTGTCTATAGCCCCTTAGGATTAAATTTCAGTGCTGAGAGACTGCAGCAAGACAGTGGACTGAGGCTGCCGTGTCTCTGTGTCAGCCTTTAGAACTGGGCATTAGGAAGAGGGCTTGGAGCCAAGATCACCAGAGAATCAGTTCTGACCCTCGAACCCAGGCAGTCCCAATAGACTGAGTGGTAAAATAGAGCTCAGTTTCAAGGTGAAATCCTTGGAGGCATGGGTTAACAGAGCCCTTTGTGAAGGGTATTATGTATCAGAAGCGTACTCTGCCCTTAAGCTGGGGTTGTTTGGATCTTTTCAGCGCCTGTACTTTTGGAGAGTTGCAAAGTGGGTGCAGTTTCCTGTTCTTGTTGTTAGTTGTGTTGGGAGACAACAGACTAGTTATGCTTAAAGCCGGCTGAGCTTTATCTTACCACTCACTCTATTGGGACTGCCTGGGTTCAAGGGTCAGAACTGATTCTCTGGTGATTTAGGCTCCAAACCCTCTTCCTCATGCCCAGTTCTAAAGGCCGACAAAGAGACACAGCAGCCCCAGTCCACTGTCTTGCTGCAGTCTCTCAGCACTGAAACTTAATCCTAAGTGGCTTTCAGCACAGGTGCTGTTTCAAGCAGAGGCAAGGCTTGCTGTTGCCATCTCTGTAAGGCATTCAGAAGTGATCAGCAAGTATGCTTTTTGGAAGCAAACCTGAGCAGTTTGCCACTCCTCTCAGTTCTACGGTAGCATTCGCAACCATCAATGATTTTGGGGGCTTCTTAGAGCTGCTGCTGTTTCAATAATCTGTTTGTAGGCAATTCCCCCCCCGTCAGTTTCATGCAGGGGTCATTTCGTAGAAAAAGAGGTGCAGGAGCTCAGTAGCAGAACTCATTAGCAGAACTTATTTGCATATGCCACACCCCATGACATCACCGGAAGTATGTCAGAAGGCAACCCCCACCGCTCAGGCTCCACTGGACTGTTTTGGATTGCTAGCTATTGGGGGGGGGGAACGTGCAGATCTGTCCCCGCAGAGGAGGGAGAGCTAGTACCTGAATAAAACTTGGTCTTAAAGGTGCCACCGGACTGTTTTGGACCAGGGGGGGAGGAGGGAGCTCTGCAACTTACCTGGCTGCTTCTTGCTCTGACTGAGAGCTGCTGGGAGCAGGGGGTGGAGCTCGTTGCATGTGCCCGCCCCCTGGGCTCTTTACTGCTGGAGCTCCGCTCCTGTGCACTCCTGCAGGAAATGACCCCTGGTTTCATGTATGCCCACCCTCCCTTTCTCTGACCAGGAAATGGCACTGACTCTGCCCAGGGTTCTCAATCTCACTGCTGCTTCTGGGAGAGAGCTCGTATTTCAACTGGGTTCAGGCTGTCTCTGGCGTTACTCTTACATTACACCATTTGCATTGAAAGCCAGTGTGGTACAGTGGTTGGAGCGTTGGGCTGGAATCTCAGACACCCAGGTTCAAGTGAGGATGGAATGCATTGCTGAAAACTTGCCTGTAACCTTGGACCATCATATTCTCTCAACCAGTCCTGCTTTGCAGAGCTCTGGTGAGGATGGAATGGATTGCATATTGAATTATTTAGTCCCATAGATTTTTCAAAGTGTCCTTGCTACTGATGTGTACAAGTAGGTACCTGTGTATAACTCAGCCCCACAAATATCAATGACAGAGTCAATTACTGTTACTACTCAACTACTCTTACCTTTTAAAAGTATAAACAGCATATTATTTTCTCATACATTAAACCACACTTTTCTTTTCACAGAGCCTATTCTTCATTGGGACTTTGGCCGTGGGCAGAATTTTTCAGAATTGGTACCAAATGTAATAGGTATCACAATAACAAAAAGTCCTTGCGCAGGTGATGTGGCTATAATAGGTCTGATACTTGATGACAGAGTTCCAGGTACGTGCAGAGTCTGTGCTGCCCCCAGCAGAGATCAGAATAGTAAAGCATAGCAAATTGTACTGTATTTTTAAACATATAAAGGATTCTGGGAAATATAGTACCAGTACAGGCCCGTAGCCAGGATTTCTTAACTCAGGGGGCCTTTAAATAAGTCAGGGGGCACTGATAAAATAAAATAAAATAAACTCACACTCGCAGGCAGGAGCAGGGTTATTTCCCCTATTGTGAAGGGTGGATGTAAGTGGAAGTCAGTCACTGACTCCGAGTAACCTGTGGAGGATCCCCTCCTCCTCTCATTTCCCCCCGCAACCGCATTGGCTGCGTGGATTGCAGGGAACTACGGCGAAAGTGGCGGGCTCCTGTTTGGTTCCTTATTTCTTTCTTCCTGGCTGACTTTGTGCTTCCATGGTGACTTTGCCTCGGTCACACCCCCACCCACCACCCTGTAGGGGGGCTTTCTGCTGCAACACTTCTCAGACTTGGAAGTGGCAGCCCGCCTGGGGAGACAAGCCAAAGGAGGAGAGGTGGACGAGCAGACGGGATGGAGATGGTTGCTCTGCTTCCGCTGGTGGCTTTTGTGCGCCCTGCGTTGGTGCAGCCGGGCTGGACTGAGAAGGTGGGAGCTGAAGGAAAAACCCGGGAGGGGAAGCTGAGGGAGTGCTGTGTTTCTCTCTCCCTTGTGTATTGGATTAATAGCTGTGGGGGGACCGGACACCTTGGTGGCCAGCTTCCTCAGCAATGAGGGCACAGGTGCATGCAAGTGAGTGAGGTCTGAAATCTTGCACTGGAGGGAGAAGGGGAGAAATCTCTGTAGTTGCAGGTTCAGCCGCAGGACCCACAGCCCCCTGGCTGCACCTCACCTGCCAGCCCACTTGCCTGGCTGCCTTGCACCGCTTCATGCCGTGGCTTAGGGATGTGCATTCGGTTCCTCTGAGCTGAATGCACCCGAAAATGGCCCAGACCATTTATAGCCTTAAAGGTAAGAACCAGCATGTTGAATTGTGCCTGGAAAAAGATGGGTAACCTATGCAAATCTTTCAGCTTAAGGATCTCTTCTCCCTTGTGTTTTGCATAACTCTCAAGTATGGGAAAACTGTTCCTTTGTGAGTGGTCATGTTACAATGCCTTATTGGTAGGCACAGGGTCATCAGGTTGCTATTCAGGGGAGTAAGTAATTGCTAGAAACCTGGATATATACTGTGGTTCTGTTTTCACATGTCTATGTTTACTTTTGTATTCATAGGAATATATATAGGGATTTCTCAGTCTGCATTTTTGACTCAGGATACATACTGGAGTAATTTGACAGATAGCCTCTGTGTTGTCCTTGAATATGGTAATTCCTTCTAATTCTCAATATTTTAATTATAACATCTGTATTTGTATTGGTTGCAATACTAGATGAAACCCACCCACAATTAATTCTGATGAAAGCCACCTGTGAGTGGACCCCAAAGAAGCAGCAATTATGGAGATAAGATGGGTAGTGAGTGCAGGCCTGACAAGGGATGTGAGTTGAAGAGTAGGGAGGAGAAGAATCTGAGGTGGAAGAACAGCCTTGCAGGCTCTGGGAAGGGAGGTAGTTGTGGCTGGGGAAAGGGTTGGGGAGAGGGATGGAGTGCCAAGAAGCAGGAGGCAGGTACTGTTGCAGTGAGAAGGAATTAGAGAGGGAAATAAGAAGTTGTATGTTTCCTGTCCTGAACAATAAGTATAGGCATCTGGTAGTGGTGGATCACAGCTAGGGATGCTGAAGATGAAGATGAACTACTAGCTGAAAAACTGGGATATTTATCATGTGATTTGGTGCTATGGGGGGAGTCTTGTGATTGTTGTGGGGGCTCAAACGTTACCTCAGATGACTATACTAGTTTGGCAGGAACTTTCTGTTGTTGGAAATTCAGCAAGGTGTTCTTTGCTCTATTTGATGGTTGGAAATTATTTTGGAGATTTGTTAAGCATTCCTAGGATTTTGCCCTTGTTTCACAAAGCACCAACCATCCTGAGATCTGGAATTTAGAACTTTCTGAGTACTTTTCAGAATGATCTCAGGGAGTTCCAAGTCCGTCAATAGCCACTAATCATGGTGAGTAAAGAGAATATCCATATTCAGAGGCAGTAAACCTCTGAAACCCAGTGGTGGGATACAACATCAAGGGAAGGCCTTGGTCTCTGTGCCCCTATTTGTTGGCCCAGCAGGACAACTGGTTGGCTGCTGTGTGAAACAGGATACCAGACTAAATGGTATCTTCTTTACTTAAACCCATAGGTTGGGTTACATAGCTCCCATCCTGGTTAAGATGGAACCTCTGCTATGTCCTTGTGAATTGTTGGGCCCTGGCATACTAATCCAGTTTAAATGACCCAGATCTGAATCAAATGAGAACATATTTTACAACCCTATTTTCTTCGCATTTTGAATAACATATCCTTTATACCGTGTCATGAGTAGTTAATTTCAGTTTCAGTCTTGAATAATAAAAATGAAGAATCCAGTCTGTTATAAGAAGGACTAAAGGAAATAACAGGAACTACACATTTCTCTTTCCATTAAAAATTACTTTACCACAAAACATGCTAGAAATGTTACATATGTGGTCACTGGAAACTGTATAACAGCTTGCACCCTGAATTGCTGCCTTACCTTTTACAATATGTTATATTGGTCTTCAGTTGCAGGCTTAGGAACCCAAAACAGGTTGTGGCCCAGCCTAACTGTATTCCTGGTATACCACCACTTTCTTTTCTCTTTCTTAAATTGTTATTTAAGTTTGTTTTAAGAAAGGGAAAAGAATGAAACAGTAATACAGATTTTAAAGAGCACAACATTCAGAGAAAGTAGGGCAAGAAAGAGCAAGAAGGAAGATGGATATATATGACAAAAAATTAAAAGTGACTCCCATGATGTAACCTGGGATTAAAAAGTGGACCTAAGCTCTGAAAATTCTACTGATATATTGTATCCTGAGTATGATTATTCATCCCTTGTATACCGTCAGTGAGATGTTTCCTTCTGATCATCTGATAGATTATACACCATTGATATACAATTCTATCTTTGTAATTAATAGAATTAGAAAGCTATTTTTTTTAAAAAAAATCAAACCTGAAAATCCAGAGAGAGGACCTGAAGGTATCATTGAGGTCCATAGCACCAGCCTTGCCTCAAATGGACAGCTAGTATTGTCCAATTTCTGTGGTTTGTTTGATGAACAGATATAGTAGGGTTAAAATAAAGAATGGAGTCACATTTAATTATCAAAGGCATATGTAATTTGTTATGTCTCTACAAAGTAATAAAAAAAGACAGAAATGGAATACATACAACTCATAATTCCTTTTCTCTCCTCTAAGACTGTGCTGATCTTGGACTTTTGAATATTATTTTAACCAACGCTCATCTAGTATTGCTTACTACTCTGGGATTATTTATCAGTGAAGATCTGCGCTATGGAAGCTTCCGTGCATTGAAAGTACGTAAATATGCTCTGGATTATAATATATGTATATAAGAATCTAGTGTTCTAAAACCACTGATAACCATTTCACTAACCTGTCGCAGAGTCTCTCATTTAAGTCCGTGAAGTTGCACAGCCGCACTGTTTTCCGAAGTGTGGTCATGTACTCAGCAACCGACTCTCCTTGAGCTTGGTCACGTTTGTGGAATGCATGCCGACATGCTATTTTGGAAGGCTTAGTTGAAAAATGGTCATGTAGTTTGGCCTTGATTGCGAGGAACGCAGTGTCCTTGAGCTCAGCAGGTGCAACTAATGTCTTAGCCACATCGAAGATGTTCTTGCCGTAGATGCTGAGAAAAGTGGCTTTCTTGATATTGATATTCAGGGGGGGAAAGCTCACAGTGAATTATGCTTTTGGGGCTAGAGCATCTACAGAAACACCTCAGTTTTGTCTAATGGGTGTGTCTGTTGCCAATAGAATTATAGAAGGAGAATTGTGGGGGGTTTTTTTGTTCATTGTTGCTTTGTTCTCGCTTTGTTGGGTTTGTAAAAATTTAGCACTGTAACAATTGCCCTTCAGCTTGCACCTTTGGCCAAGATTCCAGCATGATGCTCAAGCTTTATAATACCTGAACATGAACATCATGTTCTTCCTTCTCTTTCCGTGCCCTTAATAATTATCAAAGAGAAGCTGTCAAGGATATGCCTCCTGGAATGTATTATTAAAGGAATCTGATCATTCATTCATCCTCCTGCTTTATGTCATGTGGAGATGGGGGGGGGGGGTATCAGTCTTGCTGTTGCCTCAAATTTGCTGTCATCAGATCTAACCCCTTGTGCTGACAGAACGTGTACCATGTTCTTGACTTCCCGGACTATAAATTATATTTTGTCAAGACTTAGATTGATATTCTTTGGTCCATGACATTTCTCAGGATCTGATCAAATTCTGTGTAGATGCTGTATTAATCCTGGCCTCTGTTGTTATGCGGATGTTGCTGATACACTTACCTAGATAATTTTATTCTTAAAGGTATATGAAGCCATTGCATCTTCCCATGTAGTGCTGGAAATATTTACATAAAGTGTTAGTAGCACAATATCCTTCAATTACTATATGATTTTCTTTCACTCGGGCAAATAGCAGCTCCAGAGAGGAGATGGTTTAAATCAGAAATATGGTATGGGGGAAAGGGATTAATCCTCTCCTGTTCTGCAACCAGGACCCAAATTGCCACCCCATAGCAGCTTCTTCTTTTTTTAAGATTTCATTCTAAGAAATTAATCTGCTTCATAGTATTGAGATAACCTTCACTCACTTTCTGTGTGTAGGCTGCATTTAAAGACATGGCAACAGGACCAGTAAAATGGCAGCAGACCTCAGCTCAGGAAGAAACTGACAGGTGTGAATGGAATCAGTGGTTCTTTTCTGGGCAAACTACGCATTACACCGAAGTTGTGTGTCATGAAGCCGTGGTAGATCCTTCTCCATCCAGGGATCACTCTGCACTGGAAGAGTGATTGGGAAAGGGACTAAGTGGCCTGCCAGCCACTTTTTAACTGGAGCTGAGGTCTGCTTTTGTTCTGCCCAGTGGCATTTTATCCCTTTGTTTTAATGGAGAATGTAGGTCTGGGACACCGGTAAGCCTTTAAGCAGCTGTGGTTTGCAAAGGTGAAGGGGTTTTTAGGGCTTTAGTGTAATGTGCGATTTGCCTCACTCACTTGAAGCAGAGGTGACTCTTGTTTCTACTGGTTTGTAATATAAATGTAAAACCTTCATTGGTCAAATCTGTATTCCTTTCATCCCGTGCATTTACATGGACATATGTTAACATAAATGGTTAAAGAGAAGCTCAAAGGCAATTTATACCTTATGTGAAAATGTTCTTAATGGTAGCTTCACTGCAATCACCACATGCCTTTGGGCGAGTCTCTGATTTCACATCCTGATCCCAAGACTTATAGGGTTTTATTGGTGAAGACTAGCTTTTTCAATTGCAGCCAAAAATGCAGTGGCAACAGTTTTTATATTTATATATTTATTTATTTGTTATTTCAATTTATATCCCACCTTGCCAGACAAACGGGCTCAAGGCGGCTAACAAACATTAAAATACAATAAACAATAAATCAATTAAAATTCCCATAAGCAGCATAAATTACAATAAAAGCAATACAAATTATGGCGGCAAGATATACTGGCACGATATATCCCCCCCTGGCCAGTTGTAATCAGTAATGTGTGTAATTTTATTATCTTTTTTTCTTCTAGTTCACGAGAGCAAACTTCTGTGGATTTGAAAGGGTGAGAAATCATTAAAAATTGTTTAAGTATTCCTAATGTCACATTGAGTTATGCAGAAGACAGGAGAAATCAAAGAACCTGAAACTCTTAGAAGCCCATACATTTTTCTCCCGGATTTATTTTGGTACGCCTTATTTCGAAGTATGTGTCTTCAGGATCACAGCCTATGTGGCCCCCCATCCCTTGCTGATGGCCGGCTAGGGGGTACCTGGCAACCCTAACTGAATATAAGATTTAATTCCACAAGCTGTGATGTCTAAATATAACAAGAAATGCTGCTACTACATGCCAGTCTTAATAGATTAACACTTCTTTCTTGATTTCTCCCACCAGTGAGATCCCACAGATTATTTTCTTCTGACTGTCTAATGTAATAGGCAGATAATTTTTCTTTGACATTCATTGTATTCATTGCTTATCATCTTTTCTTTCTGTACCAAGCTCATATCTTCCTCCCCTCTAACACCTAGGCAGCACTTCCTTCAGCCCTCATGATGGTGTAATGCTGATGGCCTCTCTGGATAAGCAAGCACTAATGTGTTTGCCACCAGAACCAGTACTCTTCTCTTTGACGATCCCTTTGGATATCGCCTTGATCTCCAGCAAGGTGTCAGCGCAACAGGAAATGGAGCCTATAATCTAGTGAACCCCTTAGAATCCTATCAGCTGTATCATGCAAAACATAAGAATAATTGTATTAATATTAATTGCTGGTTTCTCTTTTCCACAGTCTGATTATTACAGAGCTAAAATATGGTACAATATCCAGTGTCTGGCTAACCAAGAAGACTATGAAGGTGAGGAAATCTGATCTGCTAGCAGTAAAAACATGTATGAAGCGTATCTTGGATAGTAATTTGTTTTAAACTGAAACATTGTGAGATGCATAGTTTATAGCAAAGCAGGGCCCCATCACATAGCTCTTAAAACAATACATTTATCCTAACTGAAACATTAACATGATATAAAGTTAACAAATAAATTGAGTTTTTCAAAGCAATATTCTCGGTATGTATTCGGATGTCCTTTAATATGATTGTCATATTACGATGGCTTGTTGTTAAGGAAAGCAAGCAAGTGGTGACTGAACCAGGTATATTTGAGCCCAGTAGCACATTAGAAACTAACAAGATTTTTTTTGGGGGGGGGGATAAGCTTTCAAGAGTCAAAAATCCCTTTCATCAGATACAAGTTGGATACATGTTTCTGATTTCTTTCTGACAAAGGGAGCTGTTGTATTACTTATTCTCACATTTGTTAAAAAAATTAGCAATTTCAAGTTTTGTGCTTTTCATTTTTCCTACAATCCGTCTGTTTTTGAAAATTGGTTACCACTGTGTATGTGTGTGTGGGGGGGTGCAAGTCAATGTTCCCTCTAAGCTGTGGAATCTTGTGAGCAAAAATTCTGCTTTGTGAGCTACTGGAATAAAAGTTGTGAGCAAGCGATTTGGCTACTGCATAAATTAGTTTGCTCTGGAGCCATCCTCCCTGAGCTGAGACAAAAAACTGTGAGCCGGAGGCGAAAAAACTGTGAGCTAACTCACACTAACTCAAGCCTGGCCCTGCCCCTGACAGCAAGTATGAGATTGCCTTGCCAGATGATTTCCTGACTTTGAAATAAGAAGCAAAGACATAAGAGGAGCAGTGCTGGAGGGGGTCTAGAGTCCATCTAGTTTGATAATCTGTTTCATCCAGTTGCAGTGAGACAACTTTCAGAAGTGTAGATGTATAGCCCAAAGGTACATGTTTTCTCCCATTTTTTTTGTCCACAGCATCTAATACTAAAAATATACTGTTTCAGATCATTTAGCTATCATGGCTAAATATCGTTTGAGAGGTCTATCTAAATATACAATGCAAGCCTCTGCAGTTATTCCAGTCTAAATTAATTGACTTGGGCCCCGGTCACACGAGAGGTTTTGGGCCGGTAGAGGGACAGATCGGGGGCGCAGCAAACGGGCACGATCCCACCGCAGCATTTGGGAAGCATTGTGCTTGTGTCCCCGATCCGCCCCTTCCACCCAAAACCCCGCTGCAAAAATGAACCACCTACCGTGGTGGTTCATCCCAGACGGCTGCATCAAAGCTGGCCGTGGGATCGCCGCCGCGTCCTTTCGCCGGCGCATCCCCGGCTCCAGCCCAAACTGTGCATGCTCAGGCATGCGCAGTTCGGCAGCCTCCCCCTCCTGACTGTGTCTTCCTCCCCGGCATCTGATCGTGCCGGGGAGCAACGGCGCTGCTGCTAAGGGGATCCGTGGGATCCCGCCGCGGCATCTCTATTTTGGTGCGGCTGTAATTTGCCGCACTTTGGCCGGTGTTTTCCCTGCCGTGTGGCAGGGACCTTGGACTAGAGTAACTCTGCATAGGATTATACTGTTAGTGACGTTAATTATAAGCAGCCAGATGACTCCTGATTGTGTCTGCCTTATATACAGTTATTAGTTTGTTGACCTGACTAACAAAAATCATTTAACATGTGGTCATGAGTTCTTCACAAATCTTTACTGGAAAACTGGGTTGATCAATACATTTAATAAATATATTATAGAAATCCAGACACTAATATATGAATAATAGATTTCTCCTTTTCTTCCAGTGGATTATATTGCTGTCTCATTCAACAAAGATAAAACATTGAGCCAGGTAAGAGAAAAGATGAAACCCCCTCCCCATGAAGGTTACTTGGTTATAGGGAGCTGATTATTCAGTTCAGCACAGAAGCTGAAATGTAGGACAAAATTTGATTTCCTGAGTCTGACCAGGTCTTCATTACATTAGAATAATATTTGTTCCTTCATAGCTGCAGAAGTTTTGTCATGTTCGATAAAGGCTCAGTGAGAGGTGTGCACTTTAAAAAAATTCAATTTTGTTTCTTTTTTAAAAAGTTATGATTGTTCTGCTGCTCAAGATTTGTGAATCAATGAGCTTCTAAGGGTACAAAAGGAAAGGAAAGCTCATGATTTTGGTATGCCAAAGTTTCGGAGCAGGGGAGAGTTTATTCTGTTTTATGACATTGATTTGGGTGCAGTTTTCAGCTTCTGGAAGTTCAGCACCTGAAAATCATGCCCTTAAAAAAAAACACCAAAATTAAAACAACATATACCCTGAGGCAGCAGGAAGAGGAGAGAGGGTACTGTACTCCAGCCAGTCAACAGTGCATCAGCCTTTTAAATACTTTTTAAAGTTTAAAGAGTTGTTATTTTCAATGGATTGTAGACCTGGCCCTTAAAGAGTGTCCCTTTAAAGTTGAAAGGGCTGATGTGTTGAAGACCAACTTGAGGTGCTACTGAAAATAATGGGTGACACACCTGCATCTGGAGTTTAAAGACCAGTTCATCATTGTGGTACATGTGCTGTCCCATATGGGTGTTACATACATGCAGGCCAGCCTCCAAAGGATTTACGGTAGAAAGTCCCCAGTGAGTACAAAGCCCCCCACCCACATTTTCCTGCCATTTTTTGGCATGAAAGCAAGGGGGGAGGAGAGTCCTTCCCTCAGTTTGCTCTCTGCTGCCACTGCAAGTGGTCATCTTTGATGCAGCTCCTTTCTCTGTGAGAAACAGAAAAAAGTATGTTTTTCCTTTTTTTCCCTTTTTCTCAATGTTTGACTCCCATTTGAGGTTTTGTTGTTTTTTTATTTTTTTCTACAATCTTTCTTTCTTTCTTTCTTTTTAGCAAAGAGGAGAAGTTTCTTTTATTTCTTCCTTTAAAAAAACAGGAAATAACAGATAGTGGCAAAAGTGAAATCTCAGCGCCTCCTCAAAGTTAAAACTTATAAAAGAAAAGCCAGAGCTAATGGTTTTTCAGTATTCCCCCCCCCAAGCCCTCTTAAAAACTGTTGGGATAAACTCCCCCAGTCTGATGACCATTTATTGCCTCAGAGGAGCACTTTGTCTCCAAATGCTCCATCTGTAGGCAGTTTACTGTGAACACAAGACATAACTGGGCTTCTTGCCTTAAAGTGGCACTATAGGAAAAAGCCCTCCCTGGCTTGGTATCTGAGAGGCAAGCCAGCTCAGCCGTTCCAAAGTCCCATAACGACAGGCCCATGAACCTTTGGTTTCAGTGATTCTATGGAATAACCCATCATCTTTAGACTGGTTCCAGCCAAATCTGCCATTTTGGTTCCCGCTTTTGTTCATTCCAATAGAAGCACTTCGGAGCCACCAAACGCAAAGCATAAGCACAGACACTGTGAAAAATCTGCAACTTTTGCCTCTGCCAAAACCTCTTAACTCCTATAGACTAATGACTGCTGGCTCCTGTTAAAGAGGTACCAGTTCAAAACATTCCTTCCCCTGCAAGCTGTTCTCCACTTTTGGTGTGTTCCATGTCTGAAGAGGAACTCCTCAAACCCGAACCCATGACTTTGGCTTCCAGCCATTGTAGACCTGCTAGGCATCCTCCTTTTGCTTCCTTGGTGCATAATCCCAATCTCCCCATGGAACCTGAGCCTGAACCTACCTCCGTAACATGATTCTGATCCAGACTACGACCACTCCTACTGTGTGGATCTGGAACCTGGCTGGTCCTTGGAAACATCCTCAGAAGTTAGTTGTTGTAGATTTTTCAGGCTGTATGGCCATGGTCTTGGCATTGTAGTACCTGACGTTTTGCCAGCAGCTGTGACTGGCATCCTCAGAGGTATAACACAGAAAAATCTACATCTGCTTTGTTCCTTAACTTTTCTGGTACGATGCAGGGACACAAGAACCATTTCATCTTTTCTCACAACAAAAAGAATCTTCAAAACTTCACAGGCTAACCGCATCTATGATCATATAGAACAGGCTCTCTTACGTGAGAGAATCCATACTACTCACAGAGAACTTGCTGCCACAGACAAGGAGCTGTTTTCCTTGCACATCAACACCAGCCAGAAAATAAGAACTCATGATTGGGACAAGATTGATAACCTCACATACAGAAAAATGGAACATGGGTTAACAAGCCATACTTCCAGACAGAAGCAGAAGTTTAATAATGCATTGACGCATTGTCATCAATCTGATGAATCATAAACTCTCACCGGAAGAAACCTCCATCTTAGCCAAGGGAGGTAACTTTGCAGTCACCCCCACAGAAATTCCTGTGGAAGACATCATCACAAATGTAGAAGCTGCCATTCATCATCTACCTGAAGAGGAAGCTGAAGAAATAAGAGGGGAGACGACAAGGATTCTATGAAAAGCAAAGCTTCCTACCAGCAATATAACATGTAAGGAGAGAAACGCCATTAAGACCCTCAATGTGGATCCAGACATCATTATTCTACCAGCTGACAAAGGGAATGCCACAGTGATCATGAAAATGGAAGAATATAAAAATAAGATTAGAGAACTTCTGGACCTCACCACATACAAAAAACTAAAACGAGATCTAACCTGCAAAAATCATCAGGCAAATGAGCTCGCTGATCAGGAATTCCTCACTTCATCCCAAGACACACAAAAAACTATGCAAGACCGAAGCACGGCCACCACGGCTTTATGGACACCCTAAAATCCATAAGGACTCAGTCCCACTCCAACCCATCATGTGTGCCATTGGTTCCTCTACATATGAGTTAGCTAAATATCTGGCCAATCTTCTACAGAACCACATTGAAAATACCACAACATATATCAAAGATTCAACACATTTCATCAACAAAATCAGTCCTCTGAAACTCAACCCACAGGACATACTCATCAGTTTTGATGCAGCATCTCTATTTACCAAGGTTTCAGTAAAAGACATGCACCTGTTAATCAGATTTTTTCTGGAGGACATAACAGCCTTATTCAACCATTGTTTGACAACCAGTTACTTCCAATGGGATAACGAATTCTATGAACAGATGGATGGGGTTGCCATGGGAAGCCCTCTCAGTCCAGTTATAGCAAACTTCTACATAGAACATTTTGAAAAAACGGCTTTAGAATCTGCACCCGACAAGCCTACAGTCTGGTTCTGGTATGTAGATGATACCTTTATCATTTGGAACCATGGAGTGTTAGAACTGATGAAGTTTTTAGACCACCTCAGCAACATCCACCCAAACATACAATTCACCATGGAAAAAGAAATTGAGGGTAAACTTCCATTTCTAGATATCATGGTCATCCGCAAAGCTAACCTTCAATTAGTTCACAAGGTCTACAGAAAACCAACTCACACAGATCGTTATTTACACAAAAACTCCAATCACCACCCTCGGCAAAAAGAGGCATAATCGAAGCATTAGTAGACAGAGATGTGAATCACATTTTCTCAACGATGAACTAAATCATCTAAACCATGCACTTCAAGCAAATGGCTACTCCAAGAATGAAATCAGAAGAGCAATTAAACCAAAGGTAAAACAGCTGAGGAAAAACAGTCTCCCACAGGAAAAGTGTTTTTGTCATATATCAAAGGAATCACTGATCAGATGGGGAACATGAAAAAACACAACCTACAAACAGTATTCAGACCCACCAGAAAAATACAACAGATGCTACGATCAGCAAAAGACAGAAGAGACCCTCTCACTTCTGCAGGAGTATACCGCATACCCTGCAGTTTTGGACAGGTTTGCATCAGGACTACACAATGTAGCATCCAGACGAGAATAAAAGCACATGAAAGACACTGCAGACTTGGCCAACCTGAAAATTCAGCAGTGGCTGAACATAGCCTAACTCAAACAGGACACAGTATCTTATTCCAAGATACTGAAAGGCTGGGCAACACATCCAATTACCATGTCAGATTACACAGGGAAGCCATTGAAATTCGTAAACATAAACACAATTCCAACAGGAAGGGAGTTTAAAAATAAATAGGGCATGGTTTCCAGTCCTGAAAAACTCAAAATGTTCTATATCTCACAACAGCACTACAGATAAGATTAGAATTTCAACAGCCAATCCATATGCAAAAGAACTTCCTCAGGAAAGCTCCTCCATTAGCATGGCTTGTTGTTGTTGTTGTTCAGTCGCACAGTCGAGTCCGACTCTTCGCGACCCCATGGACCAGATCACGCCAGGCCTTTCTGCCTTCCGCCGTCCTCTGAAGTTTGCTCAATTTCATGTTCGTTGCATCTATGACACTGTCTAACCATCTCATCCTTTGCCGTCCCCGTCTTCTTTGACCTTCAATCTTTCCCAGCATCAGGGTCTTCTCCAGTGAGTGCTCCCTTCTCATTTGGTGGCCAAAGTATTTGAGCTTCAGTTTCATTATCTGGCCTTCCAGGGAACAGTCAGGGTTGATTTCTTTTAGGATTGACTGATTTGATCTTCTTGCAGTCCAAGGGACTCTCAAGAGTCTTCTCCAGCACCATAGTTTGTTCATCTGTAAAGGATAAAGGAGAAATAATTAAAAAGAAACTGAAACTCTTCTGCCCTGTATCTATATCTATTTGTCTTGTATTTTAAATTGCCTCACAATCAGCTACACCAAGGCTGAAGGGTTGCTAAAGCACCCTGCCTTATTTCCAATGGGGGCTGTCTTCATTCCCTGGAATGAATAATAGTGCAGAAAGCCTTATTTAAAAAGTGTACCACAATGCCCCACTCTGACAAACATAGCCTCTGCCTTCTGTGCCTGGGTGACAAACATAATGCAGAGGCTCGTTGAGTGTGCCAACAGTTCACACGGAAAGCAATGGGCAACAGAGCTTCCCCTCTCAAGGCTGCAGTATGGGGAAAAGCTCTGTCTTCTACAGATAAGCCTTTTGAACTGGCCACTTCTGCTGATCGGCCTTTGAAACCACCGTCAGTAGCATCAGTTCCTTCAGGGCTTCATTCCGGATCACCTTGATGCCACTCTCTATCTACAGCTACGCAATTTCTGAGGAGTGAATCGGAACCACTGGCCAAGAAGGCCAAAACTAAGACAAGGCATAGAGACAAGTCCAAATCTAATTCTCGTGCCCATCACTCCCAAGCGGTTCTGACCACAAATCCAGTACCCAGTCCTGAGACTCCTGTTCCTGACCAGACAAGAATGCCTTCAATGCATTCCACTTCCCCTGCATGCTCTGCCTCAGAAGGGTAAGTCACCTCAGTTCCGATGATGCTTCTGGATCCGAAGACACCACATTCAGATCAGCTGGGTCCAACTGCTTGTCCTCAAACTTATCCTTCCTTCCCTTGGCCACCATATCCGTACTATGTGTTCCTTGCTTACCTTCACAATTGGAGTGACTACACCTTGCCTCCACATTGGGCTGAACCTGGATCAGACCAACCCCCATGTCATCACATCCATCCTTCTGCTTCTCTATTGGTTCCACATAAACCACACCTATTCTGATGAGGAAGAGATGTTAGTCAGTTCTGAACGTAGTTCTGAGATACCCTTAGATCCATCACCTGATGAACAGGTTGGAGACTCAACACTGATTTCACTAAATAAAGATTGACATCACAGCCACTGAGCAGAGACCTAAGGATAAGATCCTTGGCCACTTATATGCTGACTCCTCTAGGCACTGTTGCATTCCCAGGGTTAGAGGGCTTTAAGGACATCTCCAAGGACATATGGAACAAATCTGTTTCAACTCCTGCCACTTCCAGACACGCAGACCGATTTCACACAAGAGCTGTGCCGCGGTCACGCCTCCCTTTGCCCCGCTTCTATTGGTCAATTTCCCACTCAAAGCCGCATGGCCGCATTTTGACCCGGGGCTTCGCCCGATTTTCTCTGCGAGTTCGTGATCCTCAAAAACCAGGATCACGAAACCACGGGGAAAATCGGTCACAGAGAATGTAAGCAAGAGAGTTCTCACAGAAAAGGGCAGTGCTCTCCAAGGGCAAACTGAACTTTCAAAACAGCAGGTCAATGCTGTACATCACACAGTTGATTCTGCTGCTAGGACAATCTCATCATCCATCATTCTCCATCACCACGCATAGTTTGTTCCACTGCACTCCATGTCGAGACAAGGCTTAAAGCAGAGGTCCTGCCCTTGGAGACCACTGCCCTTTTATGTGAGGACTTTGACAATACTCTCACACAAATTAAGAAAAACCATCAGACAGCAAGATTTTTGGGAGTCACACAGTCAGCTCCCCCTTACTTAAGGCAATGTTACTCCACCATCAGACAGCAGTGATAGCCAGCTCAGAGGGAAGAACGCTTGTATTCTTCATCCTGCTCAGAGATTCTTCTCCATCAGTTCTTTTCTAAGAGACATAGTAGTCCCAAGCAGAAGACCAGGCAATGACTTTATTCTGTAAAGGAGTCTAAGGGTCACCAAACTAAACCTGCATTCTGACTACAACAGTTTTATAACCCTAATCCTACTTTTAAGGATAAATTACATCTGTTCCTTAACCATTGGCAGGCCATTACCAATAATAATTGGGTCCTGTCAATTATAACCCAGGGCTACGTTAGGATGTTGGTCTTTACCACCTGTTCAACCTGTTTCACAAGCAGTAAACAATCTCACACATGAATTGCAGCCCCAGATTCTCTCCCGTCTGGAGAAGGAAGAGTTCCAAGTGGTCTTAAAACCTGACTTGTCTCCTGGCTTTTGCTCCAGGTTTTTCCTAGTGGATACAAAGATGGGGGCTCCTGTCCTATTTTAGATCTGAAAGAGTTAAATGTTTTTCTCTGGTTGACCAAGTTCAAAATGATAGCACTGGTTTCTGTTCTACAGTTATTAAAGCACAAAGTTTTCACAGTGCAATACATGTAGATCATAGGAGATATATGTCCCCAAATATATTGATACTACCCATTTGTTGTCTTGCTCTTCTAATTTGAGATATCTTTTTCACAGGAATCTACCTGTTTCTATAGTAAGGATCCATTTATGGACTGGCACAGTTGCTTGCCCCACAGAAAACAAGCTGACAGGCTGATTTCTAGACGGGTAGTTTCTTTTATGGTTGATTATCAACAGAATACTGGCATAGGCGTTTTAACTCAGCAGGTACAGTATGGAAGAGGAAACCATTTCAATTGATATATGTGTAAACATTGCAGTCAACACTAACAACTCTTAACTTTTAATTAATCCTGGTACAAGTTTTACTTCTGACATATTGTCACCTAATGCCGCTCAAGCTGTTTCCCAACAACATTTCCTACTTTAGCAGGTCTGAATTTGGAAGTGCGCTGCATCACCATTCTAAGTATCTCATTTGCAGACAACCCTCAAAGTACGCCAAGACCCGAGAGTCAGATTGATGAGTGTTCATTCATGTCCACTTGACATCTCGCATGTTATGAGTATGCCAGTTTCCAGGCATGGCATATATTGACTGGTACCTCTAGGAGGTTGCTTCTCTCAGGCTTCTCCTGCTAGCCGTTGCTGAGCCCAGCCGTCCCTTGGCCTCATCTTTTGTGTTGTTTTGGTTGGCACCAATAAATGTTATTGCATGGATTTTGTTTCTTGTTTTGCATTTTTGTTTGCCAGCATGGCTGTTTACAACTTTTTCTCATGTCCAGGAGGAAAGGGACGGCAAGCACCAAGATCCTCTTCCTCTTTTGCACTGCTCAGTTTGGCCTCCGTAAATCCTCTTTTGCCAGGAGAAGCTTGGGATTAAATGGCATTTGGCTGCCTGACCCCCTTTCCTTACTTCCCATACTATGAGGCATGCAGAGGCTGGCCCTGTCCTCCCTCCACGGATCACTTGTTAGGACTTTCCTCTTGCCTGTTGTCTAGGCCAACTGGTTGTCAGCTGCTTGAACCACTTCTTGGCACCTGTCAACACTGGAGATGGGTGAGCTCCTTCCAGCTCTCCTTAGACTAAACTCCTAGCAAACAGAGTGCTCTTTTGAGAAATCACTTCTTCAGCAATTACTTACTCAGAAGTAATCCCCCTTGCATTCAAGAGGACTTAGTGGTGACAGGAGAGGCTGTGGCTCAGTGGTAGAGCTACTGCTTGGCATGCAGAAAGTCTGAAGTTCAATCCTTGGATTAAAACTTGAGTTTTGAGCATTTAGCAGCAAGAGTGGACCTATAGATCTCGCATATAGATATTTTCTAATTTTAATACAAATATGCATACATATAAGAAAACAAAACAAATTCCCCAGTACTTTTACAAGAAATTGTAATAAGCAAATGGGTATATCCTACCAAATAAATGCAAGGTTTTTTTAATGGAAGGTGATGTTTTGAGTCCAAAAAATGAGACCTTGCATTCTGGGAAGAAGAAACAAACAATGGAGGATCATCTTGTTAAAAAGCAAAGTCCAAAGCTGTTTATAGCTTTTACTTAAAATGATGACACCATTAACTGATTGATATTTGTTGCTGATAAACACATGTTAGTTATGTTTGGTCACTCATTCTTCGGTTTTTATAAACATAAAGCCAGGTGCAGACCCACAGTTACAAAGAATAAGGCAGCCACAAGGGTTGTGTAAGGTGTAATTATGGAACCCTTATTTATTCAGCCTGACACACTTGTTCTGTTAAAACATTCTTTTTTAAAAAAACAGATTTATTTAGGTTTTTCACAAATATACAACCATTACATTGATATTTTAACATGTCATCTATGTAAGTCTATTACAGATTTTTATGCTCTATCCATTTGTAAAATTCTGCCCATCTTTCTTTAAACACCTTATCGTCTTTCCCTGACAAAATGAGTGTTAATTTATCCATTTCTGCGACTTTCATTAATTTCTCTACTATTTCCTGTCTTTTAGGTAGTTTTTCTTGCTTCCAGTATTTAGCAATCAAAATTCTAGCCGCTGTGAGCATATATGTTAGTATATAGTAATTATTCCCTTTATGTTCATTCGGAATAATATTTAACAGATAAATCTTCGGACTTAATTTTAAACTTATATGCAGCATTTCAGTTATCATATCATTTACGTTTTTCCAAAACTTATATATTATTTCACAGTTCCACCACATGTGGAGGAACGTCCCTACGTTGTTTTACATCTCCAGCAGTTTTTATTGGCAGTTTTATGTGCTTTGGATAGCTTTTCAGGGGTCCAGTACCATCTATGAAATATCTTGAATATATTTTCTTTCAAAGCTACTGCCCTCATTAGTTTCATTGATTTCCAAACTTTTGACCAGTCCTCAATTTGTATAGTTTTCCCCAAGTCCTTCATCCAAAGAATCATAACATTCTTTATATTTTCGTCGAAAAGATAATCCTCGAGGAGGAACAAGTATGTTTTTTGTATAAGTTTGTCGTTTGTGGACAACCATATTTTATCCAAATCTGTTTGGGTGTTTACAAATTCCCCGTTTTTATATTTGTTATATCTGTCTTGGACTTGCATCTTCTCCCACCATGTTAAATGGATATTTTTGTCTATTAGTCTTTCTAGAGGTCTCAATTTATTTTCTTCATCTAATAATACATCATATGATATGGCTTTTTCTTTTGACATTAATTTTGTATTAATGAATGCCTCCAGGGGGGACACCCATCTTGGTGTTTTGTTGTAAAATCTATATTTCATTTCTTTCCACACCTTAATTAATGCAGCTCTAATAGTGTGATTATGAAAGTTGGAGTGGACTTTATCTTTTTCGTACCATAGGTACGCGTGCCACCCCATGTAAAGGTCGTGGCCTTCTAGATGGAGTGTTCTCCAATTTTTTAACTGGATCCAATCTTTGATCCACACCAGTGCCGCTGCTTGAAAATGTAGTTGCTAATTTGGCAGCCCCATTCCACCTCTCTCTTTTTTATCTTGTAATATCTTTAATTTTATACGGGCTCTCTTTGGGTGCCAGATGAAAGACCTTACTATTTTGTCCATATCCATAAAGAATTGCTTTTTCTTCAATATTGGGAGATTTTGTGTTAAAAATAGAAATCTGGGAAGGATGTTCATCTTGATCGTAGCGATCCTTCCCATTAATGATAACTGGAGGTCTTTCCATTTTGATAGATCTTTCTTTATTTCTTCTCTTAATTTATTATAATTGTTTTCTATTAACATACTGTTTCTGTTCGTTAGTTTTACTCCTAGGTACTTTACTTTTTTTACTATTTGTAGGTTAGATAGCTCTTGTAATTCATTTTCTACATTTTGAGGACAATTTTTGGTTAAAATCTTTGTCTTTTTGTAGTTAATTTTGAGACCAGCCACGCTTCCATACTCCTCTATTTCCTTTAATAGGTTTCCAATAGTTGTTATCGGGTGCTCTAGTATGAAGACTAAGTCATCTGCAAAAGCTTGTAGTTTGTATTCTTCATCTTTAATTTTCAATCCTTTTATCGATGGGTTTTTTCTAATATTGTCGTTTAACGATTCAAGTATGAAGATGAATAGTAGTGGTGATAGCGGACACCCTTGCCTAGTGCCTTTCTGGATCTCTATTTTTCTTGTTATCTCACCATTTACTACAATGCTTGCTTGTTGTTTCTTATATATTGTTGTTATCATATTCAGAAAGTCATTTCCACATTCCCACGTCTTCAATTTTAATTTTAGAAAGTCCCATGACACGTTGTCAAATGCTTTTTCAGCATCTAGAAAAATTAACGCCATTTGTTTCTCAGGGTGTTCTTCATAATATTCAATTATGTTAATAACTGTTCTTATGTTATTTTTCATCTGTTTTTATAAACATAAAGCCAGGTGCAGACCCACAGTTACAAAGAATAAGGCAGCCACAAGGGTTGTGTAAGGTGTAATTATGGAACCCTTATTTATTCAGCCTGACACACTTGTTCTGTTAAAACATTCTATTAACTAACAAAATTATGTTTTTCCCTTCTTTTTTAGGATAAGAGATTCGTATCAGTGAATAAGTTAACAAACCACAAACTACATGAAAAAACAAAATTTCCAGAATTTGGGTTTCCAGATGCTGAGTTCAAAGCGTTTGGCATGCTTTTCCACCCGAACAGTCATTTTCTATATGTTTATGGGAACCAGGTGAGTATCAACAGAATACCTATTAACACTGGTAGATAATATAATGGTGATTACAGCGATGAAGATTTTTACTCCAAATTCTTTTGAAAAACTCTCCTATGTTTTTTTAGGAAAGAGACTTGAAAGTGTCACAACGCATACCTGCACCAGAGCCTGGGGCATTTATTTCCTATTATTGTGTTTCGGTTTGTGTTTTCTTTGTGTGTTTTGTGTTCATACATACAGAGAGCTAAAAGAGACGACACTGCTTTCAAATAGCTGCTGGGCAAGAGCAGTTGCCAATCTCATAGCCAGCATGGTACAGTGGTGGATTCTTGATCTGGAGCACTGGGTTTGATTCCTCACTCTTTCACATGAAGCCTGCTCGGTGACCAGGCACAGTTTTCACAGCTCTCAGCCCCACCTACCTCACAAGGTTCTTTCACATAAAGCCTGCTCGGTGACCAGGCACAGTTTTCGCAGAACTCTCTCAGAACTCTCTCAACCCCACCTACCTCACAAGGTGCTTGTTGTGGGGAGAGGTGCTGTTTCAAGCAGAGGCAAGGCTTGCTGTTGCCATCTCCATTTAAGGCTTTGGCTGTGGCATGCCTGACTGAAGGATTCCCATTCCCTTCCTGACTTCTCTTGAATCTGAGAGTCTGGAGGTGTGGCCTGGTAGAGACTGCCTGACTGAAGGACTTCCTCCCTAGCCTCTCCCTCCAATCTGACCAGAAGCCTGAGGGTGTAGCCTGGCAGAGACCAGGCCCGTAGTTAACAACTTTTTGCTCAGGGGGCCCATATTTTTCTCAGGGGGCCCACCACCAGTATGTTCCCTCTAAGCTGTGGAGTTTTGTGAGCAAACCTTCTACTTTGTGAGCTACTGCCTTTAAAGCTTCAGTGTGGCCCACAGGACAGGAATTAGGAGGGCGACTAGGCGCAGCTCCGCCAAAGGCAAGAGGCGCGGGCAGCCAGGGCATCCTCTTACCGCAGCAGCTTGCAGCAGTGGGTCGGCCTTGTCCTTCCCCGGAAAGCGGCTGGGGAATCTGGCGGGGGCCAGAGACTGCCTCGCCTGCGGCCGAGGAGGGCCAGCAGGGTGCCGAGAAAGAAGGAGCCCGCGGCGCAGCACAAGTAGAAGAGGAGACGGAGCAGGAGCAATGCCAAGCACTGCTGTCCTCCTGGTGCCTCTTCCTCCGCACGTGGCTGGCCCAGGTGGAAAAGGGACACCGCTAGGAGGCCGCCCCCGCCCAGTGACAAAGTGCAAAAAGATCAGAGAGACGGACAGCTATGTACAGATCTGTGGTCGCCCTTCTGCCCCACCTCCCCGCCCCGACGGAGGGGCACCCGGGCGTGATCCCCTGAACAACTTTGGTGCGCTCTCGGTTACCCCCTTCCCTTCTGCCCCGTGTGGAAAGGCCTGGTGAGACGGCAGGGATTGGCATGGGGTGAAACGGCCGAGGGAGGGAGGGGGCTCTGCCTTGGCGTCTCTATTCTTCCCCCCCCACTCGGGACCCACCGGACTTCCTTCGCTGCCACCGCCAGGCACCCCGAAGCCCCCCGCAAGCGAGAGGAGACGGGAAGGCTCGGGGCGCGATGCGCGTGTAAGAGGCGACAGGCCTTGCAAACCCTCCCCCACGTCCGCACCACGGACTGGAAGCAGTCTCGGGCCTCCTGGTCTGCCCAAGCATGCGGGCGTTCTGGGGAGGGGGGGGACGCAGCCCTTTAGGCCGCTCCGTCGAGGCGGCCAGGCTGGAGAAAGCGGGGGAAAGAAAGCGGACTCCGCATTTGCTGCATTGCAGCACCAGGGGGCGCTCCCCCGCAGCGGACTGTGGCCCCGCAGACACCCACTGAGGTGCAGCGCAGAGGAGCCCCCGAGGGGGGAGGCAGCGCTGCCGTGTTGAGAAATCCCGGGGAGGGAGGGGGGGAACCCACATCCGGGTGCTGCTTCCTTTGCTTCCTTTGCTGCTGCACTAAACGGACCGGGGTGTGTGTGTTGGGAGTGCGGCAGCAGTCCCAGCCCGGTGGCACCAGCATGGAGTTGTTAGCAGCGGCGTCTGCATCGGGGAACATGCTGCTCCAGCCAGCAGCGGGATCAAGCGCATCTCCCACCCCGGAGGCCCCCTCGCAAGGTCACGCGGCCCTGCAAAGACGCGGGGGGTGGTGGAGAAGACTTTGCAGGGACCCGCGCTTCAGCGCAGCCCTGCAAAGACGTGGGAGGGCCCGCCCCTGTTGCCTTGACAGAAGGTGCCTGTCATCGGGAGAGACGCGGGGGAAGGAGGGGGGAGCAGAGGATGGGGGGGCGCAAAACCCGCGGGAGGGCGCCACGCAGGCTACGGGCCTGGCGGTGACTGTGTGACTGAAGGATTCTCTCCACCCTCCCTGGCTTCTCTCGAATCTGACTGGAAGCCTGGAGATGTGGCCTGCCAGAGGCTGCCTGACTGAAGAACTCCTTCCCTCTCCCCTCTCCATTCAGAGGGAAGAAGCTTGGAGGTGTGGCCTGGCAGATACTGCTTAACTGAAGGAATCCTTCCCCCTCTCTGCCTTCTGGCTGATCTGACCAGAAGCCGGGAAGTGTGGCCTGATGGGCACCTGTTTTAAAGGCTTAGCTATGCCTGATTGAAGGAACATAAATCTTTGGTCTTCTGTGCAGTCTCACATGGGACTGCATCTATGGAGGCCGGCTGCCGGAGAGGAATTGCTAGCTTAAAACCACTAGGTGGTGGTGCATACTGGAGCCAAGGGCCATTCCTGCCCAAATGGTAATATACTCCAGTGCTGCCACACCTCCTTCCTTCAGTTTCTTCAGAGCTGGTCTTTTCTCTAGCACACGCTTATGATTGTTGATCTTTGTATGTTTTCTGCTCAAATTGTGAGTTGTTTCTCATGGGTATTATCACCAAAGGTTGTTCCAGCCCCTTGGAAATTTTCCCCTCACAGTGGTGTCCTCACCCAGAGGATTGTTTGAATCATGTCCCAACAAGAAGGATTGTTCAAAAAGTACACAAAATGTAGTGCAAAAACAACCCGAATGGATGACTACTCTGCCTGGGTGAGGGTCATAATGTGTCTCTGTGTAGAGCCTGTCAGAGGTTCAGGCAGAAGGCTAGAACCGATCGGGCTTCTAACTGAAGGCAGCCTTGTAGGAGAAGGCTCTCCTTTCCACTGATGATTCAAAAAAGCAGTTGGCTCCTGAATGTGCCAAATCGCCCTCAGCTTTTATTACATTGGTTCTGTCTGTGCAGCATTCCAAGCCCCATTAGTGCTGGCCCCACTCACCCTCTCCATTGGTTCCGAGAAGCTCCTCAGAACCACCAACTAAACAATCAAAGTCCAAACATAAGGAGAAGTGTTCGGAACTGAAACAGCCCTGGAACCATTGCGGCCAATCGTCAAGGAGGTTTTGCCTCCACCAAAAACACCAGCAGGAGCGCTGGGGTTGGGGGAAGCTCGGTGAGCCCTGCAGGCGGGTTTCCCGGGCCTGCGCCAGAGCGCTGGGGCTGGGGGAAGCCCGGAGAGCCCCGCAGGTGGGTTCCCCAGGCCCGCGCTGGGGTAGGCCCAGAGAGCCCCGCAGCCGGGTCCCACGGGCCCACGCAGGAGCGCTGGGGCCGGGGGCAGCCCGGAGACCCCCACAGCTGGGGCCACTGGTTGCCATCTTTCCCTCCTTTTCTTTCTCTCTCTCCCTTCTCTTCCTTCCTTCCTTCCTCTCTTTTCCTCCTTTCCTTCTCTCTTTCTTTCATTTCCTTCTTTCCTCTTCTTTCCCTCTTTTCCTCCTTCTTCCCTTATCTTTTTCTTTCTTTCCTGCCTTCTTCTCTTCTCTTTTTTCCTCCTTTCCCTGTTTCCCTCCTTCTTCCCTTCTCTTTCTTTCTTTCCCTCTTTCCTGCCTTCTTTCTCTTTCTTTCCCTCTTTAGTTCCTTCTTTCCATCTCTCTACTCTCTCTCTTTCCTTCCCTCGTTCCTCCTTCTGTGGCCCAACTCTAATGAGAAGGGGTTAAAACTTGAAACCCCTTCTCTCTTTGCTCCCCCCCCCGCAGGCCAGCTGGGGAAGGGAAGGGGAGGCTTTTGAAGATGCCCCCCCTTTTGCTTCCCCTTCTGACATCACTTCCGGTGATGTCAGGGGGTGTGGCATATGCTAATAGCCTAGTAGCTCATTAGCATACCATATGCTAATGAGCTCCTGCAGCTCTTTTTCTACGAAAAGACCCCTGGGTGTAATCTTTTGCAGGATTCTGGCTTTAAGCCTTGACAAGATGTGTCCCAGGAGCTGCTTCCAGAGCAGGTGGAGCTGCTTTCCTCGCAGACTATTTAAACCATGGGCTGGGACCAACCAGTTCACAAGGCTGTAACCCTTGGGTGATCCAGGTCCTCCTGATTCTGCCTGCCCTTGTAGTTCTTATCTTGCCAAGTAACCCAGTTTTCAGGGAGACCAGGAAGTCAGAACATAATAATGGAAAAATCCAGAATTTGATTGGGAGGTTTATTCTCAGCTCTCTGCCTGCAGTTTGTTTATGTTTCCTGCAAAACTGAAAGGGCAGGGAGAAAGGGGCTGACCCAATATTTCTGAAACAGAAAAATGTACCCGAAATGAATTTTTGAAACTATATCAATGCTTCTCAAGCTCTATGAAAATGATAATCATGGCCTTTCTAATACTGAACTGAAAATGAACAGGTTTAAAGTTTCCACCTCTCCCACTGAGCAGTGAAATATGGTGGATTTCTCAAGGAGAGGAAGGTGTAGGAGGACTTGCTAAACAAGGATGGGGGGGACGACATGGAGGTCTGCCTAGGGGACTGACCCAGTTTGTTGCACCACTTCACCACTTCTTGTGTAGCATGGTAATCAGAATTGTGTTATACCGTGCTACACGAGAGGAGTGATCCAATGAACAGTGTTGGGCCCCTTGTGGGCAACCCAGCATTCCTTCAAGGGGTCAGCTCCTTGCTCTTGATCAGTGGCTGTTCAAGCATCCCAATCTGTAGTGCCTATTTCAGTGCCCATGACTGGATTATTTTCTGTTCCCGTCTCCTCTATTTGTATAATTTATTTAGTAGTATTATGCTTGGGCTGTTCCCTATACATAATTTTCATGTTCAATGGTACTTATGCCATGGCAGTCCTGTCTATATTAAATGAAGAGACTAGCTTTTATATTCAACTTTTTTGGTTTTATAGGTATGGCTTTCTGAAGACGGAGGAAACACATTCCAACT